ATCATCTATTAGCATTTGTTTAATTAGAAATTTAAAGAAAATTACTTGCACTTTAAAATAAGACGTCTGTCGACTTTATATGAGCTTTCGTCGTCGCACTATGGCACGATCAATATGAAGAAAATGTAACACATTTACGACGTTACGTGGAACGAAGAGAAAGGTTTATGAACTCAGTTTTTTCAGGCTTTGGCGAAGAACTTAAAAAATTCACAACTTTTTGAAGAAAGGTTGCAGAGGGCTGGGAGCGGTCTCGTTTTGTAGCCCAAACGTTTCTCTACATCAAGCTATGCTCAGCTCAAAATCCAGAAATTTCTAAATAAAGAACGGGAGTACCCTTAAGAAAGAGTTTTTTCTATCTGTTAGAAACTATATGTCAGATCTGTCATTTTATATCTATTTTGTATCATTGTCGCGTTGAAAATATGAGCAACGAAAGTGCTGCGATTCAGCGGATCTCCAAAAATGTTGATGACGATGCTGGTGGGAGTTATTTGTGAGGATACTTAAAAATTAGCAGTGCAAATACGATGAGACTGACTTTATTCTGAGATGCATGTCAAGCATAATAGAAAGAATGATGAATTATTGGAGATTGAATATTTGTAGATTAAACAATATACAAACAGTAAATAGAACTTGCTTTGATTTCTCGTGAGAAAAAAAATGGATTATTGTCTTTTTTCTGGAGAATAAAACCGAAACTTTAAACATAGTTTTCACTTAACAAGTTTTAACTCCATTCGTCACGCGATTGCCATTAACAGATATTTTAACGACTTAGAAAATTAAAAGACCACGTTTTCACCATTGTCTTTTCAGGCAGTTATATTGCCGCCCATGTGCACTATCCAACATGATCAAGTTTTAAGAGATAATCTAATATTTAATAAAAATAACTCATTAGACACATAAGTTTACCATATATAAAATTTTATACTTTACGATGTAAAAGACTAAACTAGAATTATATAAACGAAAAGTTCAAGATTAAATTTCACTTCACATTTTTTTAGGCCGATGTACACCATTTTATTTCTTCTCCTGTTCTTTTGTCAATGAATATCATTTTGTTGACGATTACATTGATGTAAGTGATCCGGATGTTCTAAGAAAGGTAAAAGAATATTTTAAGTTCAAATCTATATGGTTATAATAATATTTAGATAATGATCAGATTTTTACTTTCATGTGGTATATACGTAATACTTGTATTCACAATTATTTTGCGTTCTGTTTCGCCAGGAATAACTTCAAAATAAAGATTTTCTTGCGTAATCATTATATTTAAAGAATTCATATTTGTTGATTTTGAAATAGATATGAACTCAATTGTATTATGTTTTCTTTCAAACCTGGCCAATTTGTGATTTAGTAACAATTTAACTAAAAAATAAAATAGTTTAGCTTCATTTAACGGATGTATTGTTCGTGACGTGTTTTAGGAGCACTAATTTCATTTTGATACGGACAAATCATATACTAATTTTGAGCAAATTACTGGCCGAATTGCGCAATCTTTCCTTGACTTCGGTAGAAGTTTCTAAGCTAAAATAGACTTTTCCCGGCCTATGAAGACTTTAACTAAAAACCAAAGTTATATGGGGAATCAGCGTGAAAAACTGTATCTAATGATGTATGACATAAACATTGGTAAAAATAAAAAACGTTTTACAAAACAGTGGGACAAGGGTACCGTTCAGGGATATTTTCGTCAAAAAGAATTTTTTTTTCCTCTGAGGTGAGTCTCTAAGGGATAGTCAGTTATATTTAAGCGAAAAAAAATGTTTCTGACCAAAATAACTGTCATATCTGCCTGGCATGGGAAAAATGCACACAATGCCCTACTTACATACTGCTAGAATTGCAGCTTAGTTGGAATTCGAATAGAATCTGCTCAATTCTGCTAGATCCAGATTCTGGTTGGTAGAATTCTAATTTTAGTTCTACCAAAATGTGATCCGAATCTAGCAGATATAGCTGCTATCTGTAAGTGTATATCATGTACTAATACTGAGTTGTTCTCTACGAATTGGCAGATTCTAGTCAGTTTAGCTGGGATTCTGCTAGATTTGGATAACATTTTGGTAGAACTAGAATTAGAATTCTACCAAAATTCAACCAGATTCTGAACAGAATCTTAGTAACAATATATATTTGAATGTATCGAGTTCTGCCAGTTCTAGAAGTTTCAATGGAATTGTAGAACTGGACACTGCTTGACAAATTTGCATAATACCCACCGTCTTTATCTAACGGACCACCAACAAATGAAATGACAATTTTCTCTCCACCACGCGCACAAATTTTACTCGGTATATTATTCAGTTTTAATTTTCTACCTAAATAAGCAGAATTTATTCTATTTAAATTTTTGCACATAATCATGTTTTCATGTAAATTTATCCATAATTACCTTCTTCAATTAAAGTTGAATACGATGTTTCGGACAGTTGTCGATATGTATTGTCTGATTGTTTTTGACATAAAGTAAATCCTATTTTAGATAATTTCAGTTTTTCTCTTTTTATTCGTTGTTTTGTTATTTCATATGTATTTTGTTTTAACGCAACAAATTTCATCAGATAACTAGAAAAAATAAATTGAATTCAATTAAATTGTCTATAAATTATTTTTTTTTAAACCTTTTAACTTGATTTTCAAAATCTGATTCTACTATTTTAAAATATAATAAATTTGATTCTTTATGGTAATACACATTACAACATTCGATTATTAAATTTAAATTATTATCTATTCTCGCACCATCGGGAATTAATTTATAAGGATGTGGATCACCGTTATGTTTACACAATTGTACACACATGTATAATTCTTCTCCATAATCGTCTCGCCATCTACGATCAATCTAGAAGAGAAAGAGCAAAAAAAAATCTTAGTATAGTACAGTCAACAAGATCATTCGTCATATACTGTTGTTTGTGGATGGCTACGTTGTTTTGAGCCAGATTGTATACAAGGACATTTTGATAGTTCAATTGGATAACGTTTATGGTAAAAAGGTGCCGGTTGGGCGATTATCTCAGGCTTAGTTATCAAATATTGTCCATTTTCTTCTTCGGTTCTATTGAACATCGATGTATCGTTCACTAAAAATACAAATAAGTTTAATAAAAAAAAGAGTAATATTTGATTTCTTTCTAATATTTACCTGGATTAGCGTGCATTGATAATTTAATTTGATTTTGAACTTCTTCTTGTACATTCAACATTATCGCTTTATGTCCTATGACTTCATGTAAATGAGGTTCTTGATCCGTTGGAACTGTTGTATAAATTTGAAAAAAAGATACCTATTTTCTATGTACCACATATGAGTATAAGATATAGAGTGCATACTTCCGACAGTTGTATCATTATCAACTGCTTCACGATTTCCATCATCTAAAGAGAAAAAGAAAGATCGTATTTTCTCAGAAAAGAAGAATAGATGGCATCTAAAAGATATAATTTTATGTTGTCTTAACTGTAAAAAAGCTGATATTCTCTAAAAGTCTCATCAACATCGGACTTGATTAGCGGCAACTAAAGTTTCGCACATGAAAGAGAAGTCTACTAAAGAAGAGTAGGATATACTAACCAAAAAAATTCACTCCCGTTTGTAGTGATTGTATAATTTTCTGATAGTCATTATCTAATGCCGTACACAGACTTTTACAAGATTTGTGAAAACTATAATCAGATGTACAATAACCACTTAATGTTTCATTCATATCTAAAAGTAAAAGTATGATAAATAAAGATTATACAGTTAACACTAGGAAAACTGAATACTCACGAATTAAATCTTTTTCTTCAAATTTAATGAATGGTATTGTGCATTGAATTCGCCATTTCATACAATCAATTATGTGATTGAAATATGATTTTACTATATCATCGTTTATCTTATGAGGTCCAGTAGTGTTTGTGTTGATCATTTCATTAGCTTGCATCAGTTCACTTGTTTCTGAGAGAAAAGAAAATTGTTGAAACGACTTAAATTTTCAATATTCTTCTACAAAACCTGTTATTAAATGTTGAACCGTTGTGTTTGGTGTAAGAAATGATGAATAATGTGACATATAATTTTCATTATCTAAAATCATATCGAAATAGAGAGGGAGAGAAAAAGGCGTAGGAAAAATAACACTTACTGGTAATATTATTTGATCCATAATCGAGTGTACAACTATTTTGTTTTTCTATAAAGAATAAAATTGAAATATACAAAGTGAAGAATACTGCTGTGTTTTACTTTATTACCCCATCTACGAAGAGGTTCTGATGTTTGTATTGCTTCATTGTAAGCATTTAAATTTGTTTCTTGAATGTATACTTTGATTATATTATATATATGTTCATCATTCCGTTGTACGATTGTCTCAATAGTATTATCTGTTTTAGCAAAGTATAACGGATCATAGTGGTTTCTCTTCTTGTCAAATAATAGATAGGCACATCGAACATTATTTCCATGTACACTTGTACCCCCTATTTCATTGTTGTCATTTAAATGTAGCACATGATATTCGATTTGGTTAAGGTAAGCACATATATTCAATTCAGTTTCACTTCCATACGTACCTTCTTGTTGAAGATCATGAATATATTGCTCAACATTTCCACTAGAGATATCATGTTTTAGATGCAAGTTGTTCTGTATTGTTCGTATTACTTGTTTACGATAGTCTGAGATAGGGGTCAAATTCATTGCACCTTTGTGTTCAATAAATTTAACCGCTTCAAAAATAGAGTTACCATTGTCACTACATACCGGGTGTCGGCAAACTTTTGTTCTGGTTTCATAAATTATTTCCCGTTGTAAATATTGCCTATATACAATAGATAAATAAAGTATCGATAAAAGTTAAGATGTAAGATATAATGCATTTCTAGTTTACTCCATAAGGTTATTATTCAAATTATTTGTGACTTGACAGCAGTGTTGTGTGTCCTCTGCTCCACTAAATATACTCTCGTCGATATTTTCGCCTTCACACCTAAAACAAGGATTTTATACGTCGTAATAGAATTTTACAGAAGCGTAATTTTCACAGCATTTACGACCTATAACTTGTTTTATTCAAACGTTTAAACGTTAAGGTTTTCATATTTCTTCAGAAACACTCATAAAATATTTCCACTATGGTAAAAAGTCTTTGTACATCGTTTTGAAGCTTCATCTTTTAGAATCCTGATCAATGGTACAGTTTTTAACAAGTCATGCATGCTCACTTCATTTGATAAAACTCTTTTACGTTAAATGATGACTTTGTTTGTTTGTTTGAATGCCGAAAAACATGTTCAATTTAGAGTTTGAACACAAATTTTCTTGTTACTCAACGATAACAAGATACACTACAAAAAATTCGTATTTTAAAAAACGCTAACCGTTGCGTATTTTTCCTCCGGAATGGAAAAAAGTTTATTGACAGTTTTCCTGAGCGCTTAATGGTTTATCAGCGGTAGGGTTTTTTAATATACCCTTCTGAATTACAGAAAGGCGTTTTTATAAACCCAAAAAGCTATCGGAGTTGGATTAATAAACTGTCAGGGTGTCGCACTTTGGATGAAAAATCCATTGGTTTTCTAATAAACCCTTTTGATTTTTTAATGAACGCAAAAGGGCTTTTCTCGCTTAAAAAACCCTACGGCAATTCTCTTAAATCAAGGGGTTTATTGAAATACGGAAAAACGTATTTTAAGAAATGATGAGGGGACAAAAAATTGAATTATTCAAGCTATGAGTTGCAGTGAAGTTCAACCAGCGGTTTTATTCAACTGTTCAGAATGAGAATACGTGTTATTTTCTCATTGATCGAATGAATAATACCAGCAAGTTTTCCAGTCAGTTGTGTTTGTTAAACTTTTATCTTATTATTAGCAGATCAAGAGTCGTGTCATGTTGTTTTCCGGCTTAGTTAATTACTTGAACGAGTCGTTGTTAGCATGCCAAGAGACTCGGTGGATACTTGATAGAAAGACGCCTTTTTTCATACTGTCGCGGAGATCACAAAATAAAACTGATCTTTCATTACTTTCTTAGCGTTTCAGATTCTTCGAAGTTCAGAACAATGCGAATAACTTTCTAGTACTCTCCATAGCACTTCTACAAAATAATCACATCGTATACTGTAGGCATTTGGGGGTTGGGGTGTAACAATTCTGTAGAAGTACTCTCAACCTTGCTTAATACTAAACCAGACAACAGTACCTCACTGTTATTCTTCCGTTTCTGTAAAAAATATCTTCATTGTTTGCTCTCATTCTAAAGAAGAAGTTACTTTCCTGAAGATTAAATGGCACGACACTCGGTGTAGAAATTCAAAAGCGTATAATAGTGCACTATAGAGACATAAAAGACCCTTTCCGAAACGCTTAAAGCGTTCGGGAAACTGAAACCACACCGAACGAATAAAAGGTTCCGTAGACGTGACAAATCCCTTCCGGAACGCTTTAAGGGTACTTTCGTAAACTTTTACTCGTTCGGTGTGGTTTCAGTTTCCCGAACGCTGTAAGCGTTTTTTAAAATACGGATCTTTTTTACAGTGTACCGGCATGACCAAATGTTACGGAATTCATTTTTTTGAACTTTCAAAAGCTATAACTCTTTTCAGTGTTATTTTCAAACGCAACGAAAATTTTACCAGTCACGGACATTACTGAGTTCTACAACTTCCAAAAAATTTCTCTGATTTTCGATCACCCCAAAGGGAGATATTAAAACCATATACGTCTTAACGAAATTTCCGAAAATGGAATTTCTTTTTAGAGATGGCATTTTTCTCCGCAACGAGAACTTATTCTGAAAAATCCAATGCGCAAAAGTTATGCAGTTTGAAACCAGCTTTTGGAATATGTATTTGGTTTCCGGAGAAAATGGCTAGGCGGAATATTAAAACGGAAATATCGCCGTTACGGAATTTCATCATTTTTGGGGCCTTTGATATCAGAAGGTTAAATTCCATTACGAAAGTATCTACGGAAAAATATTTCTAATAGCAGTAGTGAGGACTCAATTCGCCCTTTTCGATGCACTATAAAAAACACGCTTTTAAACTACTGTGAGTTAGAGGGAAATCGGCTTCAAAAACTGTTTTTTCAAAAAACCAACTTCTCTAGGAAGCAGCCCAAGTCAATAGTGAATACGCCATTCTGTACAGAATTGAATTCTCTATAAAATGGCATAGCTCGTAACTTTTTAGCAAAAATCTCTAGGTCAGAAGATTGCAAATAAAAATTGAATTTCACGTTTGAGGGTCCATATCTGACTTTTTCAAAATATGAACTCGATATTTGGAATCAACGTCAAAAACTTTGTTAGGTGATATGCTTGAAGATTTGCTTAGGATAAAAGAAATTTTTCGAATCTTCTGATTCGAAGGTGACCGTTAGGTGGCCAGGCCGATATAATAGGTTTTTAATGTTAGAAAGTTATTTATGAAATTTTACTATAGTCAGATTCATATCAATGCTTGGTTCGACTTGAGATAGTCTGTTTCTATTAAGAACTTCAACTGAAGATGTGGATTATTAGTTGTAATTATGGTTTAAATAGAAATGGTGATTACGTCAGTGATGACTCATTATGACTCAGACGTACTTACATAGTGAAAATATAATTCTAATTGACACAGTTTTCTGTTTTAATCAAATAAATATTTGGAAAATGATTCAATATTATTTTAGCTTAATTGATAGGACACCTGGTGAATCAAACAAACGTAATATACAATGATGAAAGAATGATGCAGGTTTAAATATTATTTCAGTCGGGAAGAATTGAAATCGATAAAAAAGCCTTGCATAGAAACGTTTTTCTATTCTCTTTTCTCTCTCGATGCTTAAGGCAAACATGTACTGTTGCAGAAAAAGAAACAAAGACCCTTACGTTTTTATAATGCTGACTATTTTTACCTCCTTAATAAAAACAATCACCATTTTGTACCTGTGCAGTATAACAATATGAATAAGTAGTGGAAAAAGTGACTCATCAACCTGATGACTATCAGTGAGACATCGTAATGCACATATCTCATTCAGCTTATAAGATACAAGTTTTTTGACAAATGAATTACTTCGCCAAAGAAATTATTAGAAGTTTGTTACATGAAGATTGTAAAGAATTAATCAACTAAAATGTCTTTTCAGATAACTCATAGAACGTTACTATATCCTACTCATTAAATCACAGCCCACAATTATATAGACCGACAACTTCAGCGTGTAACAATAAAATTCAGCTTGGGTATAGGCGACACAGATCATATTTATCCCGAACAATGCAGTTCGAATTTTGAATTTTTTTCTCTACATATATGAAACTGATTGTTAGTTGAATCAAATATTCGTATTATAGTAGAAGTACATGTAAAAGTAATCAAACACTAAACTAACAAAATCAACCACTCAAAAAGTTGAGAAAAAGCATGACCTCATATATGATTTCGGAGTTAATGCACAAAAACATTACCGAAATTTTTGAACATTCCTAAAGAAGTTTTAGGAGAAAAATTTTACGCATTTCTAAATGGACGAAGGAGAATTTCGATAAAACCCTGTTATCGCGACAATCTTAGTCAAAGTTGCTGACAAAAATTCACAACTAGAGCTTCATAAGACACTTTCCTTTCAAACATAGAAAGTAACAATAAAATTAAAAAAAATTTCAGAATTTCGTAATAAAGGGAAAGAATCACATTAGCCACCGCTATGATCTAAAACGAGCAGAAGCCTAGAAATCTTCCTGACAAGCATAAAAGACGGCGCAATATTAATCAGCGACCAGTTTGGCTTTCTATTATTTTAACCCGTCGAACTGAAGGATGTCTGCACATACCTTTCGGCTAGACCTAATTGGGTATTATTGGAATCGCTACAGGCTTGGAAAAGCTACAGGCTTGGAATCGGATCAGAAAGTCACCAGCAATAAAAGTTACAATTTATCTCTTCGCGTATTATCAGCATCCGACACTTTTCAAGACTGAAATCAATACATAATATGACATTATCACTTATCCATTTTACATGTTCAAAATTGTAAAAAGACAACAAGAATAATAATTAGATAAATCATTCAAGAATGAAATGTCGAGAAAGAAACAAGCACCTTCTTTCCTCTTTGCTTGTCACGAAACGAGAACAATATAAGAATGTTAAAGAAAAACATGAAATTACGACATTTAGTTTACGAACAGTGAAACTAAACAAATATTCGAAAGCAGAAAAAAAGTACCGAGCCGGGAATCGATGATTCTATTCGCTTATATCGTAATATTCTATCGGTTAAATCGACATGTGTTTAACGAACTGTAGCATATTATTTACAAACAGTATATAACCCGGATCAAGGCGTTGAAGGCGCCTCATCATAGTCATTAGACCACACCGGCGTGACAAATTTTCGGAAAGACTGTGTTCAAATCGTTCGATCTTGTGTCATTATGTCTGTTTTAATGTACGTCTGGTGTGCGAAACGTACACGTGTTTCTGGATAATTTTCATTGGCACTGATACTTTTCATAATATCAAATGGAATTCTGGAATTCGGCTATTTTTATTCTCAAACATTGATAAAAACGCAAAACAAAATTGCACGTTTCCTGTTCTTCTAGTGTATTATCTCATTCTTTTTAAATTTCCGACATTCAAAGCAGATTTTTAATTTTTGAACATATCCTCAATAAAGTGCAGAGGACACTGCAATCACTG